AGCATCCTTGCTCTGGCCCTGTAGGAAGAGCCAGTTTCTCTTTGTTTCTTCCTTCAAGGAGTTCCTCTCAGCACATACTTCTCGGACCAAACTCTGAGTTTGTCTGGCCCCTAGGACACCCTACTTCTGCTCTCTCACCCGCTGGCTTTGTCCATCTTGTTTCTCACAACTCACATCCCTTCCCCTCCCCACCCTGACCCTCTCTTGAACACAGCCTCCTTGCTGTCTTTTACATTCTGGCAGCCTGGGTTTGGAACCCAGGACCTCTTGCACGCTACCAAGCCACACCCCTTACCCTGCTCCAGTCTCTTTATGTACACCTCACCTAGTCCCGGGCTGAGAGCCTTGGGGCTGATTCTGCGAAATGATGCTGCCAGGAGGGTGGCCCCATCGTGCTGCTCCTGGCGTTACCATTCTGGCATTTGTGGGTGAGCATGTGGAAGACACAGGGGACACTGAGGACAGTCCCTGACCTCGCCCTTGCCCGCTGTCCTTATCAAGAGCGACAGACTAGAGAAATTCTGGGTCAACTCTAGTCTAGCTTGGGGACTAGGAGACTCTGGTTTGGGCTCCTCAGAATGTAGATTGGACTTGGTGAAGGTACTCAGAGCCTCTGACAGGGGTGAAGGACCTGGGTACTGCCTGTGCCTCCGGCCGGACAGTTCCAGCTCTGTCAGTCTCCCTTCCTCAGCTGTTAGGGTTTTTTTTTTTTTCCTGACAGGAAGATAGAGGAAAGACCCTGATTTCTACGGTTCTCTGACAGGGTCATTTTTATCAAGTACGGTGGCCTGGGAGCTGGCTATGCAGATACACAACGGTAGCTTAGTGGATACGACTATGACTTGAATTTTCAGTAGATTACCCTTCTAAAGGGAAAGAGGAAGCTGGGCGTGGCAGCACATGCCTTTGATTACAGCACTTGGGAGGCAGAGGCAGGCAGATCTCTCGGTTTGAGGCCAATTTGAACTACAGACTGAGTTCCAGGACAGCCAGGGGTACACATTGAAACTGTGACTCAAAAAAAAAAAAGAATTGGGGGTAAACCTACTAGGGATGTGTTCGGGACCTCTTCTCAGCTTCCTGATGTTAGGAATCACCATTAGGAAGACTTTTGGCGGGATTCTGTAATGCATATAAATATGACTTTTAAAGGGGCTGCATAGTCAAAGTGGACTGTTAATATGAACGTAAGTTATCTGAGCACCTCAGGACAATACAGTTCTTCTTTTTGGTTTCAGACCAATTAAGGATGATCCAGGTGGCCAAAGGCTTAGATAACAGGACAAGGAAGGTCTGAAGGTGAAATGCTGAGGACTAGAACTATGGAGCATCAGATATATGGGTAATTTTCTCTATTTCACCTGGAGCCAGTCTCCAAGACTAGGTTCCCAGGGTCCTTTCTGTTGTCTAAAGAACCTTGACAGACTTTTGAGGACCCAAATCTTGATCTCAGGGGCCAAGACTTGGCTTTGAACTCTGTCCTTTTCCAGACACCTACAGTGTCTGAAACCCCTGATCTCCCCCCACCCCAGGAGTCTGTGATAGTCTCTCACTCTCTGGTCATAGGTGGACCCCTGGGGTCAAGGACAAAACCAGGATGGACCTACTCTCTTGCCACCCCCACTCCCTGCTGTTCCTCTGGGACCCTTCTCACCCCTCTGACTGTCACCTCTTCCTTGCGATGATGGGAAGAGCTGAAGTCACAGCTTTTAAAAATACTCTGACTTTGTTAACCCTGTGAGTACAACCCACGGAATTCAGACTCTTTAAAGTGTCCTGCTCTCTGGCTCTGTCACAGTACTTCCTGCCTGTGACTCACTTGGCTAGCCCAGAAAGGGGCAGCCAGGGGGTAGCCAGGATCTGAGTGAGAAGCCCCAAAAGCCCCCCCCACGTATATATACACGTACTCATGTTCCATGCACACACCAAGCCTCTGGATCTTGGGCTCTTAGTACCCCTTGGTCCCATTTCTAGAGATGCCTACCCTGTTTGTACACTCTGATGGGTCTCATGCTCTTTTCCATGGGGCAGCTTCTCTCTTCTGAGTATTTCTTTCTCCCAAACTCTTGCCTCCAAGAATGGAGAGAACTGAGGCCCTATCTTTCTTAGGATTACTCAGAACAAACATCTCTGAGGGAGGGTTTCAGTTGGCCCCTGACAATGGGATCTTGGGAAAGGGCCTTCCACACCCATGAAATGAAGGGAGCTTTCTAAGCCAGTGGTTCTTAAAATCGGCAGCAAATCAGAACCACTGGAGATTTTTTTCCAGATACATCTGCCTGGCTTCACCTTGCACCTTCTGAGTCAGCCTCTCTCTAGGGAAGTTATGTTTTGCAAAACATGCCCCAGGTAGTTCCAATGCAGAACCAGATTGGGGTGGGGAGACCCTGGTGATTTCCAAGAGAATTTCAGCTTCTGATTGTAGTTCCACTACCCTCATGCACTCAGGACCCCATCCCCTGGAGGGAGACTCAAGGGCTGACATCTTGGTCCTCAGCTCCTGGTTTGTGTTTTTGTCGTGCTTTCTGAGGACTTGGACAACAGTAACAACACCCAGTCCACCTGGGTAAATAACCCGGTTAAGGCAAACCCAAACTCTGTCTTCCCAAAGAGCCAGACTTAAGTGAACCAGGACCACTCTTCAGTTCCAGCCAGCAACCCACAGGCATTAGCTAGCCATGGAGACCTTGGGGGGCTGACTCCTTCCTTAATCCCCCAGAGCAGACAGAGACGAGGGAAGGTTAATTTCCGTCCCAGCTGCTTGACAGCTGGGGCTGACAGTGATAGAGTGGGCAGCCAGGAAATGGAGGAGGAAAAGTGGGACAAGAACCTCTGTCCTAGACCAGCACCGATAGTTGGTTTGGCCCAGTCTCAAGTCCCTTAGAAGGCAGGCACCCTGTGCTCACTCCCTCCCTCTGCTAATAAAACCAAGGCCAGAGTGGGGATAGCATTTGTCTGTGGCTCTTAGGTCGGACCCTTCCCCCAGACCACTCTGTGATAAATGAGAAAGATGGTCTGCAGAACCCTTGGCCCAACCGCGTCTCACCGTCCTTTCGGTAGTAGAGGATGTCCACCTTGCACTCTTCAGCTCCGAGCAGGGCCTGTGCCAAGCGGGACACAGCACTGCTTGGCGTGTTAGGGCCAGTGAGGAAGTCACAGGTACAGGGTCGCTGCATCACCTCCACACGGGAGTAGCCAAAGAGCTCGCAGAAGCCATCATTGCAGTAAATGATGGCGCAGTTTTCCATCTGTGCATTGGCAATCAGGAACTTACGACCTGGAGAGGGAGGTAGAAGGTAGGAGGAGAGCCAGAAATGGGTAGCCGGGAGAGAAATTACAGTGTCCAATGGCAGCTGAGAAAGGGATTTAGATGCAGGAGCAGGCAGGGACCAGAATGAGGGAGGTGGGGGTCAGAAGAGGGGGGAAGGGGGAGGACCAGGAGAGGGTTATTCCTTCTGGGAGTTGTGAGGGCCATGAAGGTGGCAGGGGACAGAAAAGCAGGGGTGCAGGAGTCAGGCCCGAGGGCTGTGGAAAGACCAGCACACTAGGGTCAGAAGGGTGGGAGGAAGGGCCCAGAACTCCTGGAACAGTGGAGGGGGTCCAGACCAGGAAGCAGGACTATGACCATCTGGAAGTCAGACCTGCTCATTGGGTGAAAAGCAGGAAGTCAGACAAACCTCTAGGAAAGGCATGAATGATCTGGAGCGGTAAGTGGGACAGTGACAGAGTGGAAGCCACGGTTTGGGACACCAACAAAACTGCTGTGGGTGGCATAAGAGCTGCATTCTGGCCCAGACAGAGCATATGAGGTGTTGGGGACATAAAGAGAAAAATTTTTGTATTCAGATCTAACCCTCCCCTTCACCTCCTTTTCCTTTTACCCCATCAGAAGTTAGTAAAGTCTGGCCCCTCCTGCCATCCATCCAGCACGCTGACAGCCCCCCACGTCCCCAAACCTCATACTTACTCTGGCCCTCGAACTTGCGGATGATGGTGTCCAGGTAAGTGTTTTGGGGAGCGACGTGGCCCCTGCGGACTGGCATCTTTCCGTAGCAGCACTTGCTGGGAGTCACCCTCGACCTGGCTCCTGGCAGCTCCGTCAGTCCTCGGGCTCAGCGGCCTCGGGCTGGGGTGGGCGCCGCCCCCGGGGAGGGCTGTCGGGCCCCGCCTGCCCTCCAGCGTCTGCCCTCCCCGCCCTCGCTGGTCCTCCCCCGCCCACGGCTCAGCACGACTCCTCCCTCACGAGGCTCGCTCCCGGGAGCTGTCCGCGTCGTGGTGCTGAAATAAGCCAAAAGCCGGCAGCAAGGCGGGGTCCAGGACCTGGGCAACTTCTCTGATTTAGCAGGGGCTCTGAATCATCCTAGGGAGAAGGGCAGGGATCCTGGACCTGAGATACTCTGAAGAATTTACGCTCATGTCCAAATGGCCAGTGGCCTCAACATCTCCTTGAACCCCTTCTGGTACCGCAGGGCAGTTTCCCAAGCAGGGGAGGGCAGAAGTTGTTAGGGGCTTCAGGTAGCCTTTTGTGGAAGGCTGTCTCCAGAGTTTGACTGCTAGGCCTGACTGTGGCAACAGAACACTTAGGTTTCTTGCCCACAAATGCCGTCCAGTAGGTTACCAGTGTCCATGCACATGGTGGAACATCCAGCCGTAGCCTGTTCTAGGAAGTTCTCGGAAGATGAGGAGGGATACACATGAAGGTGCACAAAAGTGTTCTTTCTATTCAGCATCTTCTTCAGAGGCCTGGGAGCTCTTCCGGCACAGGCAGATCTCAAAGAGGGATGAGTCTAAAACTACCTATTAGCAAGCGACCACTGGAAAAAGTGTCTGAGTTCTGATTAAAAATGAACATACTAAGAGGCAGGCGGATCTCCGTGAGTCTGAGGCCAGCCTGGTCTACAGAGTGAGTGCCAGGACAGCCTCCAAAGCTACACAGAGAAACTCTGTCTCGCAAAAACAAAAATGAAACAGAACAAAATGAGTACACTGGAAGAAGCAAATTGGGACGAGATGAAGTTTATTGAAAAAGGTTTTCTGGAGAGGAGGCAAGAAGGACCACTGTCCGTTAAGCACCTTGATGAATTTGGAACTTTGCAGAAGGTCCCAAGTCCAATTTAGTAGCCACATCTTAGTAGCAAGCATTACAAGTGGAGCAGGCACCTTAGGCAAAGACCCAAAGGTGGCATCGTCAGTGCAAAGGGGCTCAGCTGGGTGATGGGGAAGGTGAACATAGAGAAAAAACAATAATTGATAAACAGCTGCCAATTCTAATTTGAACATCCAGATTTAATTGATGGACAGCTGAGTTCTTAAGCAGTTTGATGCTCGGAAGGAAATTCGAAGACATTTGAAGAAAATATTCTGGCAAAAATAACTTTACAAAGTGGATTTGGGGAGGGAGATGGCCAAGGAGGCTCAGGGAGGCTTCTGCTGTAGTCCAGGTGAGAGGTGCGGGGTCCTGGGCTTGATGTGCCTGTGCCACGCAGAGTCACGATACCTGGTGGGGGACCTCGGCCACAGTGGCTGAGAGATGAGAGGGCTGCCAAGTCAGGCCTCCTGGGGGGCAGAGGTGTCTTGGCTGTCCCTGAGTGTGGGGAGCAGGTTGGCTGTGGGAGAGAGGTGGGGACAGCGTCTCTCATACGGTCGGTATTTGGGTTGCTGAGCTCGGAGGATGAACTTGGGAAGGGAGCTATTCATTCATTTGCTTATTCATTCAAACAATTTCTCCAGTCCCCATTGTGTACCAGGGCCTGTGCTGACCAGAGACATCACACAGAGCAGTCCTGATGCATGTTAAGCCTTGTGGATCTAACGGCTAATAATGAGGACAAATAAAGGCATTATAGTAATAAATAACAGAATATATGAGGGAGCCATCAAACGGGGTGCTGTCAAGTCTGAGGCTGGAGTAGGAAGTGTTTTGGACTAGGATGAACATGGGGGCGTCTAGAGATCTGGGAAGAGATAAGAGTCAGAGGATCCCACTCATTACTAATTCTCATCAGCCTGTGACTTTTAAGTTCAGATGTATAATATAAGGAAAGCTGGTCTCGTGCTTGGGCTACCTGGTGCCTCTTCTCTATGGCTTCTGGTTATTATCATTTCCCCTCAGACCTGTTTTCTCTGTCACATACTGACTCCCAGACTTCCCAGAGTCCCCAGAATTTCAGCCCTAACTTACCTGAAAATATCCAGTGAGGTATCACTGTGATCAGGAGGCAGGGGAGAAGGGTTGAAAAGAGTAGAGGCAGGGGCCCTTCCCCCCTTTCCCAAGATTATCCTTAGAACATCAGTCTCAAATACCTTCCTCATGGCCGTCTTTTCTCTGTTCTCCCTTCCCCCATTGAGCCCGGAAAGGTGCTGTTTGCCCTGTCTGTGCTCGCTCTCCAGGGCAACGGGCCAGGCAGCAGGTGTGTGTGTGTGTGTGTGTGTGTGTGTGTGTGTGTGTGTGTGTGTGTTCAACAAGGCTATCTCTGGGGCAGAGTTACTGGAGATGAGCTTTGTTTAAATATTAAAGAAGTCAATCATTAATCATGCCTGGCTCAGTGCCCAGCTACCCACTGTCTCCATTCGTGAGGGCTGGGTTGGGGTAGGGAGAGTGATGGGGCAGTTTGTAAGGTTGCTTGCATTTCAGGTGGTCAAAGAGAGAGCCTTTTTTGGGGCCTGGATTATGCAGTCTGAAAGGGCATGATAGGGGGTGATTAGAGTGCTGTAGGCTATATACAGAACACAGGACTCAGGACTGGGCATCAGCAGCTCATAAAGGAATGCCTAGTTCTACTGAAGGACAATTAATAGGCAGACTGCAAGCAGGTTCTTTTTCTAGACATTTCTTGGCTCCTGCAACCCTAGCCAAGCCCCATAGCTAAGTTCCTGAAAACAAAACAGGACAATACAAACAAAAAAGGATGTGTGGAGAATAGGTTCTTGCTATGACTTGATGTAGAGGCTGCTTCAAAGGGACCCAGCCACTGACTCACTAGGACCATTGCCTTTGAGCCACTGTGGGAAAGTACGGTTGGCCTGGAACCCAGAACACGCATGGATCACACCTGTGCCTGCCTCACAGCTTTGCAAACACAGTCACACAGGCTCACAGACTACAGCTGGACACTATGCCTGCAGACCGTATCCTCCCTGGCCTGTCTCAGCCGTCCTCCTGCCCTACCCCAGTCTCACCAGTCTCTATGGTGGCTCCTCCCAGCTCTGTGACTCAGCTCTCATCCATGGAGGCTTCCTGTTGTGTTGTGTGAGCACCCGAATGAGTAGGCCAAGACAGCAAAGGGTAAGAATGAAGCAGAGGCCCAGCAGGATCCACTGTTTTCGGGCTGCCTGACGGGGTTCCATGGCTATGCCCAGGAAGTAGGTGTAAGGCAGGGTGCTGAGTATCATAGTGTCCTTGTCCAGTGACTGTTTTTCCAAGTAGTGCAGCCTACAGCCCAGTCCCAGGATGAGGACGAGCATGACTAAAGTCATGCTGAACAGTAACCACTGCCCCAGCTGAGCCTGCTCAGGATCCAGCTCCATGCCCAGGAACCACACTTTGTTTCCGTTTTTTTCTGTGGGAAAAAAATAGAAGAGCTTTAAGATCAGGACAGCCGGAGGAAGGGGCCCAAGAATCCCCTGTGGCTGCCAGAAGGGACCTGATGGCCACTGTCTTCTCTCTCATCTCACGTCAAGGGCGAGGGAATTGGCTTGCAGTGAGGGATCATAAAAAGAAGGAAGAGAAGATGTAGGAGGGTGGGGTGGTATAACCCACAGAGCCCAGTTTGGGGGCTCCTGGCCACTGACCAGAGGCCAGCTTGGAAGTCTTGCTGGGTGAGGTGCAAGAAAGCCACATAACAAGAGCTCTGTGTGGACTGTGGGGCTGGCTGTGGCTGTCCCCAACCTGGTAAACATAGGGTCACCAAACTCCAGTTCTGCGCTGGCTAATGCCAGATCACAATCTGACTAGAGTTTAGGACTGACCCAGAGCAGGTTAGGGCAGGCCCTCACGCTGCATCAGAACCAGGGCAGGGCTAGTTTTGTCCAACCTTCAAAAGAACAGCTGAAGTCTGGCCAGCCAAGGATGTCCCCTTGCTTCACATTCTCAGTCACCAGCCAGTTCAGCAGCGGCTTGAAGTAGGTTAGGAAGGCCTTGGTGGATACATTGTACTCTCCAGTCATCTCCTTTAGGACTTCCTGCCAGGGCCTGCTGGAGCCCAGCTTCAGGATATCCCTGGGGGAATGGAGTCATCTGTGAGGCCACGTGGGAGTGTCAGCAAGTGCCGCTGGGACCCTTCGGTATACACAGTTCCAATTCCTGGACTTTGCCAGCGAGGACCCCAGAGCTCAGCACAGTAGATGTGATCACTGGTTCTGAAGCAAGAGTCACCTGGGTGTGACTCTCAACTCTGTCCCTGTGATACCTTGGACAAATAACCTATCGGAGGCTCCTTTTTCATCTCCATAAAAGGAGGTAAAGGACAGGGTTGCTAGCATTCTGGGAAGCACTAAACACCAACTGTTGCTGCATTAGTGTCACTGTGGGTATCATTACTCTCAACTCAAACAGGCAGCCAGCCAGAGCCTCTGTTTACCCTGATGTATATGAGGTAGCAACAGCCCTTACTTCCCTCTTGGACGCATGGGATGGGGGATTGAGAGAATTCAAATGTTGTGAGCATGGGTGGTTCTCTGTGCACCTGCAGTGCTGCACAAATAACAGTCATCTTGAGGCACACCCAGGACTTGGTGGCAGATGGCAGGTTCACTGTATTCACCATGGGGGTGTGGCAAAGCCAAAGCCCCGGGCTCTTTAACCTGGCCTTGCCAAACAGCAGCACTGGGCAGATGTTGACATTTCTCAACCTGTCGTCCCAGGGTCTGATCAGGAAAGAGGTGGGACATGGAAGGTTAGAAGTCACTGTGTGGGGTACCAGGTTCAAAACCCAGCAATGTTACTTACGGACCACATAACCATAGGCATTTAACCTCTCTCAGCCTGGTTTCCTCATCAGTAACTTGAGTTCCCATGGATATTTGCCCTACACTGTAATTAGTATCAAGTCACAGGCTGATGAAGAAATTTGTAACTTGCTGGATTTGTGCATGCTACTTGATAAGCAGCTGGAGCCAGATGTGGGAACTGAAGGCCAGTAGACATTTGGCAGAAACTATGGGACACATTTGCCTAGCACACGCGATTTGCATGGGTTTGATTCCCCAGCATTTCAACAAAAGAAACAAAGGAAGAAAGGAAAAAAGAAAAGAAATCACTGAGGGAAAATCTGTTAAGATTTAATACTAGTGAATAAAGGCACAGACTTGTTAAGAGTAAAATAAAAGGAAAAAAAATCATGACTCCTAACTGATTCAAAATTTTCAGATCCTGAGTGGAGGAAAAACGTGGTGTGGGCTAGGGTCTCACTATGTAGCCCAGGCTGGCTTTGAACTCACGATCCTCTTGCCACAGCCTCCTGGATGGTAGGAGTACAAACTTGTACCACCACACACAATTGAGAGAATAGCACTGACTCCTGAGAATCTGCCTGTGTAGAATCAGCTCCACAGTCAGTGGGAGGAGTGGCCAGAGCCCAGCTACAAGCTGCTAAGGAAGGGCTGTAGCGCAGTTGCTGGGCTCTGCCTCAACCTCCAAACTGAAAACACAGTTCACAGATGATGCCAGGCCCACCACGAGATCCACTGTCACTCTCTATTCCCATGACAACCAGTACTCGCATGGGGGATGGGTGCAGATAAGAGAAGCTATACTAGGCAGAAGACCGGGGGAAAAATCTCCCTTTTCCTGCTCCACTCCCTTCCCTGTGACCCTGGAGAACCCTGAATAAACCTTCCAGACTGTAGCTGCGTTGTGTTCTCTTAACCTCCAATCCCCTTCCCCCACACCGGAGCCCATAAACATCTCCATGCCATGCCCTCGGTGTACTGGGACTTGGGTCTTCGGCTCCTCCCACATGGCCATTTTGTGAATAAACTTTCTCTTTTACAAAATGAGTCATTTTTCCCGTTAGGATATTATGTGGCTGTCAAGACAGGCCTGGGAACACCAGCTTCCCGCCCCCCTTTGTGCCCAGAGCCCCCATTTCTCATCCCTCTCCTGTACTCCACTCTGTTGCCGTTTAATCATCCCGAAGGCTTGTGACACCCCTTTCTTAGAAGGCTCTCCTCTGTCCACTGCCCAGAGAATGGTGTACAAGGTGTTCAACCTGGAATTCAGGGTCCTCTCGGCCCAGGGGTGTAGACAGTGAAGCAGGGGACTGATGAACAACATCACGTGCTTTGGGGTTAAGTCGAACAGAGCCCTGTTTACGATGGGTGGGGTGGGGGAGAGACGTAGGGAGAATGACTAGGGTCGAATGTCTCACCAAGCAAGTGGGATAAAGCGGAGTTAGAAGCGAGCAGATGTGAAGAAAACACATCTGCTTCTCCCATGCCTGCATTTGGGGACAGACATCCCTCTGGTTTCTAGCTGAACTTCGTAACCCTCAACACACTTACTATAGTCTTTTCTATGCTTCAGCCTCTTTTTTAGTATTGGAGGGTTCATTTATTTCGTGGTCTACTGCCCCCTGCTGGACACAGGGTGACTGACCAGCCATGTTGGAGGAAAATGCTGTATGAAGGAGACAAGCAGCTGGAGGTGGGAAGAGCCCAGAGAGACGTCAGAGATCGGGTGATGGCATCAGGCTATCATTTGTATATGCGTGTATGCACACCAATCCCTACATATAAATAAGGGAAGAATTGACGGGGGGGAGGGTGATTGCCATGTCACTGGCCCTCTCTACAAAGTCCAGAGGATCAGTCCTACTTCACATGGCCCAGTGGTTGCAGATGGTTAAACTGAGTGGAGGAGCCATAGATAACTCATTATAATATAAAGGAAGCCAGGCATACATAGTGGCTCATGCCTGTAATCCCAGTACTCCAGGGAGGTAGGTGTGGGAAGATCTCAAGACTGAGGCTAGCCTGCATTCTACTACAAAACCATGTCTCAAAAACCAGTACAACTGAAAATCTAAAATGCAAGCTGGGGATATTAGATCATCCATCACTAACCCTCTGGATGGCAGGAACAAAGCTCAAGGTGACCTTGAACAGTTAAAGAAGCAGACCAAAATTAGCAACAGTCAGGGGAGCAAAGACCTGGCCAGTGGGTGGATGCCCCAACTCAGTGTTTGAAGAGCTGGTCTTGGAACCGGAAGACCTGATGTGATGTCACTGGGGCCTGTATCCCGAGACTGATGGGGGTGACACCTCCTTTTGGAAGCCTCTCCTCTGCCACTACCCAGGGAATGGTGTTCAAGTCTGGAGTTCTGGGTCTCCTCAGACCGGGGTGTCTCTGGTGAAGCAGGGGGACAGATGAACCATCTACTGACTGGAACGGTTTTGCAACCAGTTCTAGACTCAAAGCAGGAATTTCCTTCTTGCTAAGTGAATGACACACCATCAAGTCAGTCCTCTGTAAAAAGTCAATGCCAGTTTTCTACCCTACAAAGTTAAGAGTGCGAAACATGGAAAAAGAACTTGAGGCCACCTATCACAGAAAACGCTATGTGTGTTCAGTTTAGGTCCTCTGCCTACCCTTCAAGCTGGTGCCAAGGCCAAGAACTAGGGCCACAACATCGGGTCTGGAAAAGGAGAGGGCTTAACATCAAATGCAGGGGGAGAGACTGGAGTGTAGGGTCGCAGTGGACCACAGGCTGGCTTGACTGTGTCAAGAGGCCCGAGTTGAAGTAACATCAGTTGGCCTGGGAATCTGGCTGAGCACTTTGGTGAAGAGTCAGGAAAGGCAAAAGACCGAAGGGTGCCTCACACACTGTGAAGAGGACAGTCAGATGTTCACAAGGATAGAGGAAGGGGATTCTGGTGTCTAAAGACTGAGGCAGGACGCCAGCCCTGATTTCCATAGGAGACAAGTTGATTGACTGCATATGTAACTGTGTGTGGTGACCAAGGTGCCTCTGACCACAGCAGGGCAAAACAAAACAAAACCAAAAAATCCCCCCCCCCCAAACCAACAGGCTTGTTTGTATCTGCCTCATCAGTCACTGAATGGAGGTTCTCCGATGACAACCGGGGATGTCACAGGGGATGTCCAGTTCAGGCTGTGCCGTTATTGCTGCCAGGAGTCTCAGTTGGGGCCATCCTTGCAGACTCAGGGAAGTTTCTCTTGCATCAGGGTTCTATCCTACTCTGTAAATCCCCCCCCCTTTCCACTCATCTCTCTCAGCAGGCTCCCACTCTGTCCACCCGCCAGCCTGATCCCTCAACTTCCCATGCCCACCCACTCCCAGCCTGAGCACAGGGGAAGGTGCTAATGCCCATGGGAGGCCCCCCCTTCCTGAGGGAATATGGAGGAGGGGTGGGTTGAGGGGGGAGGAGGGGCAGGGGAGGGTGGGAAGAGAGGAGGGAGGGAAGGTTGCAGTTGGGATGTAATAATAGTAAATGAAATAAAAAAAACACCCAGGCTTGTTGTTACTAATGTAGGAAACTGCAGTCTAGCATGAGAAAAGGCTTCCTCCAGAATGCCAGCTCAGTGTAGTCGCTGGGGGGGGGGGGGCCCAGGCGGCACCGTGAGGAGGGGGAGTCTGAAGCCAGTCTCTTGTGAGGGAGATAGTGGGAACTGAGGGAAAATGCACCTACCCCAGTATCTTCCCGGCCACCTTGGAGTTATAGATGTCACACCGGTGCAGAGGGCCCACGTGGCCTGCGGCCCTGCACAGTGCTTCATGAAACTGAAACTGGAGCACTAGGCTGAGGAAATACCTGGGAAGAGGAAGAAGAAGGGAAACTGTGGAGGGGAAGCTGGGTGTGTGAAGCCCAGACCTGCTGGAGCGTGGAGTGGCCACAGGAGCCCATCTTTGCACTTTCTGGAACTTCTCCACGCAGTCCCCATGTCTCCCAGATCCCAGTCAGCTCTGCCAACAGAGCCCAGACCTTTACCGGACGTAGGGCACACTGGCAGGAATGTGGAACTTGGCCCCTGGGTCGAAATCTTCTTCTGACCGAGGAATAGGTGGGCACAGGCCCTGGTACTTCAACCTGGTGGGAGAGAGATGGGGGCTTGGCCATGGATCCTGGAAGGTTCTCAGAGCCTTTTCTTGTTTGAAGTATGTGTTTTGTTCAGCCAATCTGGGCCTGGCTTGCAGATTCAGCGCATTTCCCTTGACCAGACAAGTAAAAATACATGGATTCAAAACTCAGAAATTGCAGTAACAGTGACTGGGCATGTCCCTCTCTCTCAAAGCTGGCATGGTCTCTGTGGAGATGCCATCAAAGGACCAAGTGAGGTCAGGTCCTTGCTTGCATCTATCCTATGGGGTCAGAGTGTGGACCAGGAAACAGGTCATCTTACTTATACAGTGCTAAGAAGAAAACAGAAAGCCAGGTGTGGTGGCGCATGCCGGTATTCCCAGCACTCAAGAGGCAGAGGCAGGTAGATCTGAGTTTGAGGGAAGCCTGGTCTACAGAGCAGCCAGGGCTACACTGAAAAAAGAAAACAACTTAACAAAGACAAAGGCAAATAACAAAACCCCAGAGGTGTCCCTGTGCTGTTGTAGTAGTAGTACTGTTCCCATTTTACAGAACTGTCAGTCAAAATTCTAAGGCCAGGGAACTGGTCACAGGGCACAGTCACTGGCAGACTTCATCACCTGGAGCTCTGGTGTAGGTTTTCTGATCTTTGTGACTGTGGGAGACCATGAAGCTGAGGGAATCTGCGTTTTGTTGTGAAGCAGATGAAATGCCTGACTTTGGGAAGAGATACCTACGAGAAGGCCCATTGCTCACTGGTACCTCTGGTCAGTTCCTGGAGTTGGCAGAATAGCAAGGGCATTTTTCCTGAAGGTTCTTTTTACAACTTAAGGAATGGCGGCCCTCACTCTGTCCCTGGGTTCCATTGGCTGGTTGCTGGCGGGCCTGGGTGGTAGAGGAGGGAAAGGGGCCCCTCTTGGGTGCCCTGGTGGCTGGTGTGGCCACACTTGGAGGGCACAGGCCAAGACACTGCTGATCACACAGTCAGGGAGTGGCAGGACTAATGGAAGAGCAGTTAGCTCTCCCACATGCTAGAATGCGGTGTGACCCTGGGCTGGCTATGCGACCTCTGAGTGCTGAAAGCCCGTTAAGCCAGGGCACCTGATGGGGCGGTCGCAAAGACCCAAATGATCACAAGGGCCTGATGCAGAACTGTATGTAGGCCGCCCATGTGTTCAGAGATCTTGGACTTGGTAATCTAACATCTGATGGACATGGAGAAGCCTTGGGTATGGGCATTTTCTGTCCAGTCAACTGACCTGCTTGACAGCCACTGAGCTTTTCTGTAGTCGGGAGCTAAGGCTCCAGCATGCATGTGTGTTGGGGTAATGACCTGCCTCTCTCTCTTGAGAACTTTCCAGCAAGCTAAGTACTCAGGCCTCTCCCATCCCTTCTCCTGGGCTTCTGTGGAGGGGAGCAGGCAGCAGGGGCCCGCTTGTTGGTCACTGTTCTACCTGGACTTTTGCTTTTTGTTTTTTTGCCATTGTCTTTTGAAGAGAGAATCTCATGTGGTCCAGGCTGACCTCCAATTGGCTGTGTAGTCAACAAGCTGTTGGCCATGCCTGCAAGACCCTGATGTCTCCTCCTGCCTCCTGATCCTACCGCCCCCACCTTCCAGGTGCTAGGGTTACAGGTATGGACCACCTCACCCAGTTACTGCTCTGTTCTCAGACGGGCCTAGTTGATTTCATGGTGTGAGATTCCAGGCCACTCACAGAGCACACAGAGCCACTGCCAGGGCCCCCATTTCACAGATGAGACAGAAGCTCAGGAAAGCTAAGAGACCTTCTCACTGCTGGCACCAGATTGGGAACAAGGCCTCATGGCCGCCATGCTGGCTCTATGCATTCAGTCGCATACTTCTGCCTAGTGACAGCAAACAGCACACATGACCTGGCTTCCCTAGGCTCCCAGGACATCCACTCTGCAGTCTTGTCAGGCATCCACCTTCCCCACCTGAAGTTCCACCACTCCTGGTTGTAGATGTTCTTCGAAATAGTACCATCGAAGACCCTCCAACGAAACACGTCTATCATGTAGCTGAAGGGGATGAAGGCAATCTTCTCCAGGGCAATGCCTAACAGGAAGTTGACCTCCTCCTCTGGGGATGGGGTCAGGGCAATCAGGAGGCAGCTTCTTGGTCCTCCCTTTCTTCAGCCTTGCCCTGAGGGTTTTAGTCCCCTCCCCAGCCCCAGCTGAAGCCCCAGGCTCAGGCTGCCCTCCCTTCGGTCCCCATCACCTGAGTCCTGGTGTGGGTGGCTGAGCAGACCTCTGTTGAGCAGGTGCTTGTGGGAAGAGGCTGAGAGGGTGATCACCGAGCCCACAGCCTCTTCGAAGGCTGGGCTGGCACCTTCTTGGTAGATTATAGAGAGGTTCTGGAACTGCAAGAAGTACTGGATATGGCCCATCTGGTGGAAGATGGAGAGCAGGTCTTCTATGGTCACCTCGGTGCACTTCTTTACCCTAGGGTTAAAGGGTAGGGGTCAAGGAGCATGGGGATGCCCTGGGGACACTCAAAGCTTCTTCATTCAAGCTTCATTAAGGCATTGATGCCATCAAACTGTAGGCCGGAGGGCCTTGGCTACCATGTTTTCCTACTCTAGACCCTGTATCCACCCAGTGACCATGTCCATGACTCTCTGTACCCATCTTCTCCCCCATGCTTCTGCATCTCATGCCCTGTCCCCAGCCCTGTTCTCCCGGCCACTCCTTGCTACATAGCTAGAGGGGAAGCAGAAGAGGGTGACAGTAGGGTCCTGGCTGACCACCATGTTGGCTGTAGATACCTGACGTCATCGCCTTTGTAGAAGTTCCAGGATGAGGCATGACACTCTACTTCCCGCCCATCCGCTGGCCTCTCCAGCATCGATTTTATCCAGAAATCAGGTGGGGCAGGCAGCAGTCCCAGAGACGTTAAGAAGATGTTAGCCTCTTGAAACATTTTTTCAGGCTTCCAGTGCTGGGGGGGAAAGAGGTACCATGGTTCTGTCTGCCCGTTTGCCCTTAGATTGTGGGCTGGGGACATCCAAAGGCTCAGCACTGACCTGGTTCTTCATGATCCTTGTGATGTCCTCAGGTGGCTTTTTTGGGTAGGGCAGGACCAGATCTAGGATGTTGTCCCAGGACTGAGCCCACATGTTCCCTGGAAAGGGGGTGAAGGGGCTAAGGGGAGGCAAGAGTGGCCTTCCTTCCTCTCTCCCTCTGCCACCAGTCTGGCCCTTACCCAGGAGGTGGGCGGGGATGGGTCCCCGCAGGTTGATGATCTCAGGCCCGTAGTATCGGTACAGTGAGCGTCGCACATAGGCGTGGAGGTTCAGGTAGAGCGGCTGCAGCTCCTCAAAGAGCTTCTCCAGGTCTTCCTTCAGGGTGTCAGTCTCGTACTTGGATCTCCACAAAGCCCCCATGTCTTCGAACCCTGAGACAGGAGAAGAGGCTCATGGGTGCTCACTGTACCACCCTGGCCCAATGAGCTGGCAAGGAGGAGACCCGGACAAACTCCAAGAAAGCGTTTCTACATCCCGGTTTCTCGGGGGCCTTGGACGTGAACACGACCTCTGCAGGCGTTGCCCACGCTAGACTAGCTTAGAGGTAGAAAGAATGAGGGTCTCCCATGGCAAGAGCTTCCTGGTCATGCCTTGTAAGATTCTATCCTTTCCTATAGCCACGGCCTGAGCCCCAAATCACCCGAAGCCCTGTGGTCATCTCCTAGAACCCTGGTTTCCCCTCACAGTGGTGTAGGGGCTCTGTGTGGACACTTTCTTCCTGCTTGTCTGTCTCCTACTCATTTTTCCAGCATGGGTAAATGTCAGAGAGACCTGATCATATATATGTGAAGCTCTCCTCTCACCCCCCCCCACCAGCAGCCCCTTCTCCCATGCATCACGTTACGGGGGAATTATAGATGCGTGTGTGCTGAGGAGGCTCACCTCCCAATCCGATTGCCAGGAGGAAGTCCACGAGGCAGACATCTATCTTTTCACTTACAGAGTCTCAGGGTCTCTCCAGCGCCCAGCCCACTGTGCAGGCTCTGTCTTTATTTGCAGGACCCAGTTACAGGGCTCATGTTGCCTCCACACCGTCCACACCCATTTTGCCCCCTCTGCAGCTTTGGCTCCTTTCTTTTCCTGGGCATTGACCCGGACATTATGCCCAGCCTGCTCACCGTTATATTGTGCTGCCTTGTTGCTGAGATGTACATAGTACTCGAAGACAGGACGGATCTGGCGACCCACGGCATCCCGCCAGCCCTGCCAGGCCCACAGGAGCTCCTTCTGGTCCCTGGAGGTGGCCATGATTTCTTCAAGGTCTGTGACCAGAACGGGAGCCACCTGAGCCGCCATGCCTACTAACCTCTACCCTCACCCACCCCAGGTGCTTCCCTTCCAGGAGAACATAGTTGAGTCAGGGGCAGGGCTTGCTCACCAGGCTCCAGAGACAAGCAGGGACCCTCATCCATGCACACCTCAGCTGTACTATATGTTGTCTCCATGTAAGTTAGAAGTCTGTCGTACTGGGGGGGGCAAGTGTCACCCAGGGCAGGCCCATGCCTTTGGGACCACTCCCAACATTAGCCCCACCAGCCAGGACAGGCAGACCTGGCTAAATACCCCCTCCTCCTCTTGAGGAAGCTCTGGTTCCACCCCACCGACACCCAGTCCTGCCCCAGATACTCTTGGCTCCCAGTGAGACCTGCCCCGCCCTCCCCTGGGGTGCAGGAGTGTGTGCCTTGGAGGCCTGGGGCTCTGTCTATCACCTCCCGGAGGTCCTCGGTGGGCAAGGCCGACTTGTCTACGTTCTGCAGCTTACTCAGCATGCGCTTCACTTCCGGGTCCTGGAAATGGTCTGTCTTAAACAAGCGGGCTCGGCTACCAAAGTACAACATGAACTGAGATCTCTCCACCTCCTTCTGCAGCTGTAAAGAAGGTCATCACATGGGTGTGGCAGGTTGGGGGATGCAGAATGGGTCCCACGCTGAATTCCCACTTTAAGGGTCCAGAGTCACTGAAGATTTGCTAAAAGGGAGGGGGTGCTCAAGTCCTTAAAAGCAAGGAGGTAGAACTTGCAAGGGAAATGAATCCGGAAATTCTTATGTAGGGAAAATCCAAGGCCACTGAGAGGCCTGGAGCTTGCACACTTTGATGCTTGTTTTGGGGTGTCCCTCTTTCCACATACTGTGGACTCAGGGCAGGAACTATGATCCCCAACCTCCAGGATCCCTAAGAAGATCAAGGGGAGGGAGGACCTGGGGGGAAATGGTACCACACCATGTTCTCTCGATTTTGCCTGGTGATGTTGGTGACATAGTTCCAAGTGGCCTCCATGAACTCATTCAACACAACTTGGGCTGTTTGCTCATAAAACTGCAGGAACAGCTTTGCCTGAGTTTCATCGTAGAACTCATCTGCAGGGAAGGGGATCATGTGGGCCTGGGGAAGGGACTGCCCCTTCCCAGTCCTCTTATTTGGTCCTTCCTTCAGGTCCCAGCCATACCTAAGCTTGGCTCTCCCACAATCTTGAGCCATGGCAAGAGCTGCCCATAACAGAGGAGCACAAGTAGGGAAAGTCCAAGGCAAGTCCATCTTGTTCCCATGACCAAGAGAACAGCAGAGCCGGGAGAGGCAATGGCCAATCACAAGTCAGCTCCATGTTTGTGACATCAGGGGCCAAGGGGTCTACCATGGAATGTTAGAACCAGAAAGATTGCCCACCCAGCTTCTTGTGCAACTGCCCCTATTATGCAGGTGAGGAAACGTCTGAAGTCCAGTACAGTCAAGTCATGTGGCCTGGTGTACATGGCTAGCTAGTGGCAGAGCTAAGAGGAGAATTTGACTTTTAAGCCAGAACTTATTCTATTTGGCCACTTTCCCCTGGGGTTGGAGGAACCCTTGGGCTTTGGCTAGGGGCTGGTGAGACATCCTCCTTCATAGGCTGGGCTTACTTGAATAAGGGGGATATTGAATATTAGGTAGAGGGTTGTTGGATGGATGGGTGGATGGGTGGATGGATGGATGGATACATGGGCAGCAGTTACATTTTTGGATCTTTAGACTCTGAAAACCTAGTTTTCTTCCCAGCTTCTTCTGACATGACCTCTTAGGCCCATATTTTTAACCTTTTTCTCTCAGGAGACATGTGATCAACTCCAGGACTCCCTTTCTCTTCCCCTCATACCTGCTTCAGTAGGAGCCATCAGGGCTTTATGGGGTGCGGCTGATACCCTCCATTCAGGGTCCATGTCCGTGAGTACCTGAGATTGGGGCTCTGTTTCCTGCTAGCTCTTGGTGACTCCCAAGTACTCTAGTGCATAGAATTTGGGAGGACAGTTCAATCTGTTGCACTTTAGGATTTCTTTCTTGGATTCTCATCCCCATACCTGCAAACTCTATACCCCGAGTCTCCTTTACCCTCAGCTTAGTGGACCACCCACACTTTTACATATGCTGACACCATGACCACTGAAACTGACAACATAATTCCATCCCCCAATATTAGTCATTGTTGTCAAAACATTTAAAATATAAGGAAAGAGGGTTGGGCTGGTTAAGCCCACAGAGAAGCCCTGCTTGCTTCAAGCATAGACGTGTTGATAAGACAGGATTTGGGGTGCAGGCATGATGATGCATAGCAAGCTCCCTGTCTAAAAGAAGCATAAGGCTTTGCATTGTGGAGATAGGGTCTTGCTCTGTAGCCTAAGACTGGTCTTGAACTAAAAATGTTTCTTCCTTAATCTCAGGAATTTTGGAACAAAGGCATATATATCATCATGCCCAGTAAATACAAAATGCAAAGCTGAGCTAGAAAAGGAGAAAGGGACTCTCCAGATAGTAGACTAAGAAGACAATGAAGAAGTGAGCAGGGCTGGAGCCCTGTGGCCACGTGGGAGGTCACTGTCTCTGCCACAAGACTGCAACAACCAGTTGCTTCCTACAGTACAGATGTGGCATTTGTCATAAAGCTGGAAGCCAGAAGACTTGATTTCTCATTCCTTCCTTCCTTTTTAGGAAGGGCCTCTTGGAGCCCAATCTAGTCTTGGACTTACCTACCTAGTTGAGGATGGCCTTGAACTCCTGATGCTCCTCCTATCTCCCTAGTACTGCAGGCGGTCCTGGTTTACATGGTGCTGGGGATTATATCCAGAGCCTTGTGAATGCCAGGCAGGCACTCTATGGACTGAGCTACATCTGCAGCTCATAAAGATGACTCATAAGTGAATCTTCTCAAACAGAAGAGAAAATCTTGGGTCAATTGTGGTCAGTAGCCAGCCCCACAGAGGACTTTGCCAGGACTGAGCACCGTGAGGGAACTTTCACTGTTACAGTCCTTGTAACAAACCCATGAGGTAGGCACTTTGCTCAACACCCTATTTTTAGATGGAGACAAGCAGAGGGGCTAAGAAACTTGCTCACAAGACACACAGGTAGCAAATAATGGAAGTTGGACTCAAATCCAAATGCTCTGGTTCCAGAGCTTGCACTCAATGACATAGAAACAGTTGAATGGAGCCGATTCCACCAAGGAAAGAACACGAAGTTGTTCTCAGACCTCCCCATGTGTGCTGTGGTAAGCAACCCCCAATAAACAAATGCAATTTAAAACAAAATAAAACCCACGATGAGTCATGAAAAATATGTACTGGCCAGATAGCCAAGTATGGTGGTTCACACCTATAGTTCTGGTACTCAGGATGCGGAGACAGGAGGATCACTACCTCCTCTTTCTCTGCTTCCAGGTGGACCCTACCCTCTTCACTCACCCAAGGAAGCATAAACAAGGGTTTTAACAAGTGTAAAGAATGTTGGCAGATGCATATAACCCTAGTACTCAGGAGGCTGAGGCAGGAGGATTGAGAATCTGAGGTCAGTTTGGATTACATAGCAAGACTACTGCTTCAAAACTCAAAGTCCAAAATAATATGGGAAAAGTGCTTGCTGTGCAAACATAAGGATCTAAGTTCAAATCCCCTGAACCCTTGAAAGCGCCAGGCACATGCGTGCATGTCTAGATCTGACAGGATCAGCAACAGAAGAATTTCTCAGGCTTCCTGGCCAGTAGGCTAGTGGAACTGACAAGCTCCTGGTTCAGTGAGAAACTCTGTCTCAAAAACTAAAGCAGAGGGCTGGTGAAATGATTCAATAAAGGTGCCGACACAACAGAAGGAAAGAACCAGCTTCTGCTAGTTGTCCTCTGACCTCCTCAAGTACACAAGCCCTGCCTGCCATACAATAAAAACAAAATAAGGTTGGGGTCTGGCAAGGGGCCCAGTGTGTAAAGCTCTTACTGCGCAAGTCTGACAACCTGTGCTCCATCCACAGAGCCCTTTGGAAGGAGAGGAGAGACTTCCCAAGTTGTCTTCTGAGCTCTACACCGTGTGTTGGAGCATGCGCGCACGCACACACACACACACACACACACACACACACACACACACACACACACACAAGTCTTTGCTCTCAGTCTGAAGCTCGTTCCTTTGGGTAAAGACTGGTAACCTCACATTGCCCACAGTCCTGAAATAGGAAAGGAGGTTATGTGACAATGACCTTTGTCTGACAAACAAATTGCAAAGCACAGGTTGGGAAGGGGGTGGGGTAGGGGAACTAAAGTCTGTGGTATGCAGACTGGAACAATCTAGAGCCTATGTTTATAAGTCTCATTGTCTTGCTGAATTGTAAACATCTACTCTCTTGCAAATCCAAAATTCCTCAACCCCATATCCTGAACAAACACATATAGACACACAGAGAGACAGACACATACACATACATATATACACAGATACACCATACACACACACACACACACACACACACACACACACACATCAAACACACAGACACACACAGGCTAGAGACTGAGCAGTAAACATCAGGCTAAGGATACTGGGAACCAGAAATTGGAGTCATGAACCCTACTAGGGTGAAAATATCAGCAAAGCCTAGAGACAGTTTGAGCTGAGGGTCCATTTAACAGAGGTGGGACCAGACTGGAAGGCAAGACTCTGTCCCAGAAATCTGACCAATTTCCATTTGGCCAGGAGCTACGTTTTGTAATTAATTCTTGAAAAGTAGACGCAGTTATGTTAAATGGGGGGATACACAGACTACGGTGGTATCCTATTTACATTGGGTATAGAGGGGGGAAAGCTGGGACAGTGCACACTGAAGTGTCAATAGTGCTTACATTTCTTGATGTTGCCGTCATGGGCTTTTATTCAGAGTTTCCCAAATTTCCTACATAAACATGTAGGGAAAAACTATTTTTAAAATTTCCTTAAAATAACACCCCCAAAATCCAGGTAGGCCTTCCAGGGGATGGCTCAGGGTGAGGGTATGCATTGTGGGATGAGCAGGTGGCCTGTAACAGTGAGCCCATCACGTGGTCACTGGTCATTGCTCTTTCCCGTCAGTGCCTGCGTGTGGTGTGGACAACAGAGCTGGTGTGGCAGGCAGGAGTCTATGACTGTGGGACTTCTCCCTGCTCAGTGAGCCAGGCCCTTCCAGGGCCCTCTGTAGCAGAAGGGCGTCCACGACCTTCCTCCTGAGACACCTGCACAGGGGTCGATGTGGAATAGGATGTGTGGGGGCAGGGTGAGCCCTCCATAGGCATCCACACGAAAGCAGGAGTCAGTCCACAGCACCTGCTTCTTGGGATCTCGGCCTGGCCGCTCACCCCCATGCTGGGACTGAATGGGCGGGCGAGAACTGTTTGCAGTGGCGGGACCTAGGCCACCTCACCTGGGCTGTTAGGAAGGCCAGGGAAGGTTGTAGGGGATGGGGGCCAGAGCACTTGGGATTATTTGGGTTCCTGCTTGGAGAGAATCTGAGAAGAAGGCAATTGGGAAGGGGGCTGCTGGACTGTCAGGAGACAGGCAAGCAGCCCGTCCTGCCCCTGACTTCCTCACAAGGGACGCAGACTCAGGTGTCGGGGAGGACCTTTAATTGTATTCACAGAGGCTGGATGGGGAATTCCATGTTCGAAGCTGGGTATCAGAGAATGGGGGCTGGGACTAGGGGCAGAGAGTGGGTGGGGACAGGGCAGGAGGAGGAAGGCCCAGCTAGAATTGCTCCACCCACAAACCATGTCCCCCATCCAGTTTCTCGTGGGATACTCCTGTCAGACTCGACAGCAGGGTCACCTCAGGAGTGTCTGAGCTCCACCTCAGACCCAAACTGGGGCCCACGATGGGGCCGGTGGAGGCTGTGGCCGTGTTGGCGGATGCTGAAGAGTCGATGGGTGAGACCCAAGGTGGCCACAAGCAAGGAGACGCCTAGGAAGAGCAGCACCCATTGGCCCACACGGGCCTGCTGTGGTTCCAGGTACATGCCCAGGAAGTTGACTCGACCAGACTCTGGAAAGGGGCCTTCTGAGCGAGCTGAGCGAGGAAGCAAGGAGACAGGGCGGTGGGCAGGGCGACAGGAGGGCTGGGGCCTTCTGCTCTGGGGTCCCTGTCCCTGCTCTGAGATCAGACTAGAGGCTGTCTGGACCGGGAATGGGACTCAAGCCTGTGTGAGTTCTGGGAGCTGTGCCTGGGGCTGGAGGTGGGGTGGGTGGTAGTACCCGTGTTTGGTGTCCAGTTGTACTCCGGCCAGCCCAGTGTCTCTCCATGTCTCCTGTTCTCAGTGACAAGCCATTCTGTCAGCGGCTTGAAGTAGTTCATCATGGCGGAGGCTGACATGTTAGGCTGGCCCGTGATCAGCTTCATGGCTTCTGGCCATGGCTTACTGTAGCCCATCTTCATGGTATCCCTGGGGACGGCACCAGAGACAGGGAGAGTGAGTAGGAGCCACACTCATCCTCTTGCCCAGGCTGGCATTCCTTCTCCACAGCCCTTTTCCCATAAGCCACCCTATGGGGTTAGGAGAGTCTGAGTAGGAGGCAGGGGTGGAAGGGGAGGTTGCAGGGCCCAGGGATTCCAGTGAACATCAAGGGTGGCAACGGGTTCTTCTTGACTGTTCTCAGCCCAAGAAACCAAACAGGAAGTGCTCCTAGAATAGCCTCAGTGGTTTCTTAGGGCCAGAGTCAAAGAAGGGTCAAGGACACTCACGCCAGCAGCTTCCCCGCTTCTTTGGATTGGTAGATGTCACACTTGTGCAGGGGACCTGTGTGCCCAGCCGCACGGCACAGGGCCTCGTGGAACTGGAACTGGATGATGAAACTGACGAAGTATCTGGGGCGGAGAGAGGAGAGAAGGGGCGGCGCAAAGGGCCGGTGAGGTCTGGAGAAGAGGGGAGACACAGCGGGGTGCTGGGGGGAGGGGACTCGCTTGTGCCACTGAGACCCAGGGCATCTACAGTCACGGGGAGGGGGGGGGCCAGCAGAGCAGGACCTAGTCACAGGATGTCACTCTGGCCTTTGGTATCATCTGAGCTCTTCGCACATGTGCCTGTGTGGATGCTTCCCATTGCTCCAAGGGGATCCAAAGAATAGGCACAGCAAGGGGTTAATGAGAGACCATTAAGCTGTTGCGGGCTGTGTGGTTTCCAGTTCTGGAACAGAGGCCAGGGGTTGCTGGCTGGACCATGTGGATCTGGTAGGGCCTTCTGGGTAGGGAAAGCACTGGCACAGTCTTATCTGAAACAGCAGGGATTTCCTGATAGGAATACACCAGTCAAAGCCCGGCAGCCACGCCAACTCTCCTGATAGGAATACACCAGTCAAAGCCCGGCAGCCACGCCAACTCTGGTTTTTAAACATTGTGAGCGGCAGCACAGTCTCCCCGCTTTGGATCCTGGGCATTAGTCAAGTGGCACTTGCTCCCCTGGCCCTTCCTCCGAGTGCTGACCAGAACATTTGCATGTTTTTCTAGGGAGCCAATTCTCATTTGTTCACTCCTGCCTGGATAACTCTAAGCAGGGACACTGTTACAGGCTCCGCCTCAAGGCAAGGGCGAGTGCTGGGACCTCAGAAGGAGATCCGGTAGGGGGTGGTGACCCCATTGGGGACCCACCCCCCACAAAGCTTCACACTAGGGCACTCTCTCAGTCAAGCCTGCTGAGCCCTAACAACAACTCTTCTTGCTCCTTGACCCTCTGCAGCCTCGGAGTGTCCGAGTAGTGTACGGTTTTTCTTTCATATCTCGACTACGTGCTGCATTTAGTCCTGGAGTCAAGGCCTGCCTGCTTGGCTTCCAGAGGCAAGAACTATAAGAAGCTTAGCCTTCTGGAGAGGCCTTCTCTGTCCTCTGTGGCTTGGCTCCCGGGTAGCACGGGCACCTGGAACTCTGTCCTGAGGTCTACTTGTCACAGCTTCTTAGGAGCTCTCTGGATCCCACGCCCTGAGTGAGCTCCCATAAGAGCACATGGAAGGAAACATGCTGCCTTAGTCACCCTATGCTATAGCTAAATAACACCCAGGCCAGTGCCAATGCAATCCACATAGAGTAGTCCACAGGGAGGACCACAGCTACCAGGCCCCAGCATGGCTAAGTTGTTAGACCTTGCGACCGCCCTATGTGTTGAGATCAAGGTGAGAAAATGGATACCCATAGAGACAAAGGACATTGTTCAAACACAGGACATGAGCTCTAGCTCCCAAGCTGGTAACTAACTTGTCCCTAACCACCTTGCCCTGGC